CCACCATTACCCATTTGGACAAGTAGGATTGTTCACGTACTAAATGTGTTGAAATACTAGCACGGCGCCCAATGTGGCGTAATTGATTCACATAAATAACAGCATCAATGTAACCGTCAACATTCCAATATAAAACGCGTCCCAGGAGAGCTAAAACCTAGCGCCAGCTTGCTCGGTACACTCCGACACAGATAACTTACCATTACACCACTGCTGCAAACTTGCATCACATGACCGATCGTTCTCCTGTTGTAAACAAACGAGCATACACTGAAGTCAGAGCAAACATTCACACCTTTCAGTAAGCGTTACGTGTTTTCGTTTTACGTCATTATATAGATTGTTGGTACAACTGTAATAGATGTGAGCACGTATATGTTTGCACATCTGGCACCTCTTTGTGTGTGTGTGTGTGTGTGTGTGTGTGTGTGTGTGTGTGAGTGAGTGAGTGAATGTGGTTTTACGCCGCTTATAGCAATATCACAGCGGGAGACAGCAGAAATGGGCTTCACACATTGTACCCATGTGGGGAATCGAACCCGGGTCTTCGGCGTGACGAGCGAACGCCTTAACCACTAGGCTATCCCACCACTCCGGCATGCTTGTAACAGGCACAAATGTGTGTGGAGTGACCAACACGTTCAATGTTTCACAGTCCGTAATCGGAAAACTATGGAACAGGTACCAACAATTTCGAATTGCTGCAAGCTTTCACCCTGCTACTGGAGTAGGAAGTGTTCAGACAATATGATATAGCTGATCTCCATGCTCGACAGCCACGTGTTGTGCTGCCCTTTACAAATCGTTATTTTTCAAACAGAAGTCAGTTGAGTTCACGATGACGAAACCCGGATAATTTGCCCACATGTCATGTTTTCGGATGAATCAATTTGCATGTCCTTGATACGCGTGGTCGTATCAGACAACGTCGAAATAATCGCCAATGCTAATGCCTGAAATCTCCTAACAGACTTCAATAGGTTAATGTGTAGGGTGTGTTACTATGACTGAGTAAACCCGACTCCATATTGTGCAAGGGAGGGTCACTGGACAGTGACTTACCTTGAGCAGTACAAAATCCTAAGAATGCCAAGGACAATGAACCCCAGCCATTTCTCCCTTTTTAACACCCCGGGAAATGATAGGAAGACGTGTGTGTGTCAATGTCATAGGCTCCCGATCCCCTGTCTGAACTTGGCCAGGCGCTGCAGGAAGAGTGGGACAGACTCCCTCATATCGCCATAGTGAACACACAAAGTGTGCCTCTTCGAGTGAATGAATGTTTTGACAGTTTAGGGCGAAATGACGTATCCCTGACCCCAAAACGTCAACTTTGAAATGTCCAATTAAGCCCATCGTCTTTCAAAATCATTGACGGTAAAAACATTAACTGACATACTTCAATGATATTTGTTCCCCATTCGTTCGATATTATGAAACAACTATCCTAGACATTGATATATTTTCTAGTTTTGGAAATTTTATGTCATTTCCGAATATCCCTTACTTTTTTCGAAGAGTATATTTGCACAGGTCCATTACAGGCTTATATCGTTTAATTAGCGAAAGTAGTTACTCATGGTGCTTCTTCTGTAGACAATTTTCACACATCCATAACTCCCCACTTTGGTTATTTCAGAATTATAGACCACAATGCATGACATGGGCTATTACTTCGTTTTTAAAGTATTATTATCATTATTTTGATGTAATTTAATGCCTGCTAGCTTTGTGACGCTGATATCTTTGTTGTGGCATAACCATGACCAATCAGATAAACCAATTTATAAATTTGTTTATTGATTAACGTTTGATGTTTGTCGTTTTATTATTAACGCTTTATCGTATTAATGTCACGTGTATCGAGTATCGGCAATGGTCGATCCTATCATGGTCTCTTCCTCATAAAGTTCCGCGTGAAAAGCCAGTCGATCAATTCTAGTTTGCATTTCTTGTGGTGAAGCGAAACGGCTTCGATACCAGCAACGGCATAACAGTGTTGGGTCTACGGCCATGTTGCCTTCTATTTCTTAGAAGGTCGAAGATGATCCAATATAAAGACATAGATACATTCTCATTGTGTAAGGGGACACAATTCATTGCGCAATGAGTGGCAACAACCCTCGGTCTGTGGTTCGATTCCCAGAATTTCTCTGATAGTGTTTGTAGTGAGTGAGTTTAGTTTTACGCCGCACTCAGCAATATTCCAGCTATATGGCGGCAAGTCTGGACCACATAATACAGTGATCAACAACATGATCATCGATCTGCGCAATTGGGAACCGATGACATGTGTCAACCAAGTCAGCGAGCCTGACAACCCGATCCCGTTAGTCGCCTCTTACGACAAGCATGGGTAACTGAAGATCAATTCTAACCCAGATCTTCACGGGACCATATGGTGTTTTTATGCTTGCTAACATCATGCCGGTGCTTGCGTCACCACAGTGGTATAAGCTTGCATCTCTCCGGGATGTCCTCCCACATTAAGCAGGCACGCCGTCATGTAACTGGAAGACTGTTCAAAGTTTCGTTCGATATTTCTCAGAAGATAATCACATTACCACAACCACCACCACAGAAAACCTTTCAAACACATGTTGGGTAGAGCGAATGAGTTCAGGTTGATATTCAAGCAGTATCACGGCGGGGGACACCAGATATGGACTTCACAAATTGTACACATGTGCGGAATCGAACCCGGCTCTTTGGCGTGACGATAGAACGCTTTAACCACTAGGCTACTGGGTACACTGTATAAAGCACATTTCTGGTGACCTCTGTCATTTTATTGCTGGGATATTGCTCAAAGCGACGTCAAACCGAAATCCCTCACTCACTCTTCTGCGGCAAACATTTCACGCTCTCATAAGCCCACTCATTTGTTTCTCGTGTTGCTCAGCATGATAACATGCGCGCTCCTTTACCTTGATGATCAACTCTCAGCTGTAACATGCTTTAATGCTCCGTTCGATACGTCATGTCCCACGCTCCTTGCCTTCACGTTGACTGTGATCACTTATCCAATCAATTGATTTCTTCACCTGAGTTATTTATTTACAGAGCGTCAGGTATTGAGTACATAAACACACACAGGCTAAACTGATGATGCGTTTTATATGATTTCTTAGCGTTACAGATATATCACGGCGTTACAGATATATCCCGGCGTTACAGATCACGTTGTTACAGATATATCACGGCGTTACAGATATTTCCCGGCGTTACAGATCACGACGTTACAGATCACGGCGTTACAGATATATCACGACGTTACAGATATATCATCACGGCGTTACAGATATATCACGGCGTTACAGATATGTTACAGATATACGGCGTTACAGATATATCCCAGCGTTCACGGCGCGTTACAGATTACGGCGTTACAGATATATCCTGGCGTTACAGATATATCACGTTACAGATATTTCCGGCGTTACAGCGTTACGACGTTACAGATATATCACGACGTTACCGGCGTTACAGATATATCCCAGCGTTACAGATATATCACGACGTTACAGATATATCACGCGTTACAGATATATCACGGCGTTACAGATATCACGGCGTTATCACGTTACAGATATATCACGACGTTACAGATATATCACGACGTTACAGATATATCCCGGCGTTACAGATATATCCCGGCGTTACAGATATATCCCGGCGTTACAGATATATCACGGCGTTACAGATATATCCCGGCGTTACAGATATATCACGACGTTACAGATATATCCCGGCGTTACAGATATATCACGACGTTACAGATATATCCCGGCGTTACAGATATATCCCAGCGTTACAGATCACGACGTTACAGATATATCCCGGCGTTACAGATATATCACAGCGTTTCAGATATATCACGACGTTACAGATATATCCCGGCGTTACAGATATTTCCCAGCATTACAGTTCACGGCGTTACAGATATATCACGACGTTACAAATATATCCCGGCGTTACAGATATATCCCGGCGTTACAGATATATCACGTTACAGATACTTCCCGGCGTTACAGATATATCCCGGCGTTACAGATATATCACGTTACAGATATTTCCCGGCGTTACAGATATATCACGACGTTACAGAGATATATCACGATGTTACAGATATATCACGACATTACAGATATATCCCGGCGTTACAGATATATCACGACGTTACAGATATATCACGGCGTTACAGATATATCACAGCATTACAGATATATCACGATGTTACAGAGTTAAACAACAACTAAACCAAACAACACTAGTCCACATGCATTGGTTTCTCGAGTGAAGTCACGGTCTCAATTTTTGTATCTCTATTAATATTGACATCGGGTTGCCGGCGGGAGTAACTTCATTGGACGACTACGTAATTAACAATGACGTCGATTGGATCGGTGTTTTGAAATAATAAAATATATAATCGTGTTGATATTCGAACATGGCATCAGCTTTTAAGGTTTTCTGAAGTCAAATTCAACTTCACCAGGTAGGACTGTCGTGATAAATCTCCCGATGCTGTGTAAAGATTTACATTGAACGATTTTGTGCCATGAGTAATTCATGTAATTTGTGTGATAACGCATGACTGGAGGCAACTTATTCAGACCATGGTGCCACGGTTCAAGAACTCTTGGGGAAGTGATTGTTCTCCAACATCGATAGATCACTAACTAATCACGCTGTAGGTCTATAATTGGTATCAATAGCCCAGGAGAGTAGTTGAGGCAGGTACGAACGAAACTAAACACGGACAAACTGAAAACTAATTTCACTGTCTCTTACGGAGAACGGCAAAGGTAGGAAACGTATTCCCGAACATAAGCATATCTTTGGTTTGTTTGTTTTCAGTGTGTAGTGTTGACAAAGGTTTGTGAACAGGAGAGACACTGAATATGCAGGTATATTAAAACCTAGGTGTTTTATCGCCAAGTACAATTTGTTCCGAATCTTATCAATGAATTATCATTAATTTGTTGGTATATTTTCAGACCCTCCATGCGGCCATCAACACTGTGTTGAAGCGAAGGTTTCCTCGCGAAGTTCCATAATGGATATTGGAATGTAGCTGTGAACTCAACTACCATCCCATGCCGCTTGTGTCAGTGTTCACCGTGTGTAGCGGCAGGATGAAAAAGTCTTTAAAAGTGTTTGTCACAGCCATGCTTGTTCTTGCTGCTCGCGAACTCTCATATTATGGCTACAAAGATAAGGAACTGCATCGCGAGGCCATGGAGGTCCGCTCACGTACATATATGCCAAATAAGGGTACGATTCAAGCGGCACTGAATAACAGAGGTGAAATATACAATGCCCCAAACGTTACCATTACAGCTGACAACAAGGTATCGGGTGTGGGTGAACGTTTGATTGAGGGGAATAATACAATGAATCTTCATCAAAACAACACGGTAAAGACGATGGCAAGCAATACTACCAATACATCAGCATCGGAGGAATTGAAAACAAGCATCATGAACTTTTTTCACATAAGTGATGAATCTAAGAGGGATCCATTGCTTAATTTGCATAAATTTGCATACGATATAAATTCAGCGGTATGCAAAAAGCACAAACCGGATATTATAACCTTTATACATTCTGCCACTAAAAACTATGAGAGACGGATGTTAGTGAGAAATACATGGGGAACATTCACAGTCATTCGGGGATTCACCTTGTCACACGTGTTCATGGTCGCGAGGGCATATGATAAAAACGTGCAGAAAAAAATAGATGAGGAGAATGAAACTTACGGAGATATAGTTCAAGGACAGTTCATTGATAGTTACAGGAATCTGACGTATAAGCATGTGATGGGTATTCATTGGGTGCTATCTAACTGTCCATCTGCCAAACTCATTGTCAAAGCTGACGATGATGTACTTATCAACGTCTTCAACCTTGTCGAATACATTTCCAAAACCGACTTCCGTCAACATTTCCTATATTGCGAACTTTACTACGATGGGCTTACACGAAGAGAGAAATTGAGCAAGTGGTATGTGAAAAGGAGAGATTATCCATTCGACAACTATCCGACGTATTGCTCAGGAATGGCCTATTTAATGTCACCGGATGTCGCAAGGGAACTGTACAAAGCGTCTGAAAACACGCGATTCTATTGGGTGGATGACGTTTATGTCACCGGTATCCTTGCGCTGAAAGTGAACCCGACGTTTCGGCCCATGGTGGAACATCATGACTGGCGGCAGATGAAGAACTATTACAGACGTCATATGAATCAGTTCATGTTCCTCCTAGGGACTCGGTTGTGGGAAACGCTTTGGAAAGCAACTTTGAAAGTTGCGCCAGAAAACTGGAAAAGCAAGACCTAGATTCTGGAGTATTGCGCGATTGTAAGTCGGAGTGACTATTGCGTCTTTCCCTTCCGGTTTCGACAGGATGTATACCATTTTTTTTAGATAATTTTTATTTTATTTTTGTTCTTTGCTTTTGTTGTTGATTTTAAATTGTTAATGCCATAATTGTATATTTGTGGTCGTGAAAGGTTTTTGAATGCTTAGAGTGAGTATTTCGTCTGTGAGTATGTCGAACTAATACTTTATAGTAGATGTTAACAATTTCTAAAAATCTTATTTTTATATTATCTCATTACCTTTGAATCAAAATAGAAAACTACGCATGGAAATCTAGGAAGGGTCATTAAAATTATTGATAATTCAACCGATGAATAAATGTTTTTGCAGCATTATTTGTCTTGTTTAGAGGTCGACTTCTTTGTGCTCGCATCTATTACAGTTGTAACAACCATCTATATAATGACGTAAAACAAAAACGTAACGCTTACTGAAAGGCGTGAATGTTTGCTCTTCAGTTTGTTTACAAACAGTAGAATAATCGGTCATGTGATATACGTTTGCAGCAGTGATGTAATGGTAAGTTATCTCTCTGTCGGCAAGCTAGCGGTATGTTTTAGCCGTGCTGGGACGCGTTTTATATTGGAATGTTGACGGTTACATTGATGCTGTTATTTATGTGAATCAATTACACCACACTGGGTGCCGTGCTAGTATTTCAACACATTTAGTACGTGAACATTCCTACTTATCCAATGGGTAATGGTGGCTTCTATTCATGTTCACATTGTCCCCCTTTGTGTGCCAGGATTCGTTGATAGAATAGTCTAGTGGTTAAAGCGTTCGCTCGTCACGCCGAAGGCCCAGGTTCGATTCCCCACCTGGGTACAATATGTGAAGCCCATTTCTGGTGTCCTGCGCCTTGATATTGCTGGAATATTGTCAAAAGCGGCGTAAAACTGTACACACTCACTCGGACAGTGCCTCACATTAAGCTTACAGGGTGTGTCGGGTAGCCTAGGGGTTACAGCATTCGTTCATTTCGTACCGGGTTCGATTCCCCATATGAGTACATTGTGTGATAGCCATTTCTGGTGTCCTTGATTTTGAAATCGATAGTTTAATGACCCAGATATCAACATATTCTGCACACGCAGTGTGTTACACACGCGTAACGATAGCAATTGGTGTGTGTATTACAGTAACGGATCGATAATTGGGATGATTTATAAATAATAATAAAAAGGGTTTATAAATAAGAGAGACTCATCCAAAACAAAAATGAAATGGTCTGACACAATAAAATTCATCGTTGCAATGTGTTGGTTTTGTATGCTTAATCTTTAATTAAAAAATAGGGTTAAGTAGAAAGACGAAAACGTATTCAGTATCCATCCAAAATCTCCAGCTGCAGGTTGGTCCGAACGTGTCACTTTGTATATATCGTATATACCCGACGGTGTGGGGTGTTGCTCATAATACTGTATAGTGTCCTCTCAAAACGTATGTGTTGGTGAGACGTATTTATTTGTCATTATTATATACGGCATGAGTGTGATTTTGTTTATCATCAGTTCTCAAAACAGCCAATGACCTTCATACCACACCACACACCACCACACACCACCACACCATACCACACACTCTTCATCAAACACCATGAAATCAGAGAGTGGGTTAGACACAAGACGACTAGGGTGATTTAACAGAAGAATGATTCAGGGTGCCACTTTACAGTGGCTCTGAGGGTGTGGGTTCGAATCCCGGATGGGACTTAACCCAACAAAAGTACTAGAATCTGTACTTTACAGAGAAAGTGTAATCCCAAATATAACATATGTTACATTTTTCAGTGTTTGAAAACAAATCGCTAGGTTCCCATGATGGCTTTAGACGCTGTGGGCGACTAAACTCTCCACGCCCTCATTCAAAAACACTATAACGAGTAAATTTATTCCAGGACATAAGGAGCCGTACGTCTTTAAAACTACGGCCCCGACACGAAATCTACCTTCCTCGTGCCTATGGGCAGGCGTTTATTTCGAACACTGCCGTAATATTTCATATCATCTCACATTTCCTGGCGAATTTAATCGACAGGTATGAACACACCTCACTATTCGACCCATTTATCAATGTGTTAATGGTGACTTTACGCCCTTGACTTAATTAAGTCAGGGCGTCAGTATTGATTGCTACGTCAAGGTAAATGATGTAGAAAAGATGTATTTCCGCACTGCTCTAGAGTGGCGGTCTATGTAAACATATCACCGATACACCGCACTAGTCAATAAACTTTAACAACATCAAGGTTTGTGTCATGCTAGACAGGGATCTGAAAATGGCGACATTGAGAAGGTTATTATGAACATTAAGTATTAAGTATAAATACTTCCACAGCTGTGTTAACGACTGCTGTGATCAATGTGGTCACGCATCAGATTAAAGGTCGCTGGTGGATGTTGGGGATGCGGTCGAGATGGTTGGGTAAGTTAAGATGATGATGCCGACGTTTTTCTAGTCGGGTTTCTGGTGTAAACGTTTCGGTCGGCGTAGGACCGTCTGATCTGACTGATCAATGCAGCCTGACACACTTAAAGCAGGCCTGTTACTTGAGCGTTACCACTGAATGACGTGCTATACAGCACATGCCACATCTCAGCTACAGAACGATTAATCAGTATGTGGTGTATTGCCCTATACTTTGCTACGCTAGCCTAAATCACACTGCACTAGGCTATGCTACACTATAATACAATACACGTACACTTCTCCACACCGTACTACACGACACGACACTATACTCCAGTATTGGGACCCTATCCACAAAACGTTCGTAGCACTACGTTATTCGTAAACCAATGATATGATATAGAGTTACGATAGGTCGTAAAGTTAAGACCACAAGACAAGACAAGACACGACACGACACGACACGACACGACACGACACGACACGACACTACACTACACTACACTACACTACACTACACGACACTACACTACACTACACTACACTACACTACACTACACTACACTACACTACACTACACTACACTACAAGACACGACACGACACGACACGACACGACACTACATTACACTACTACACTACACTACACTACACTACACTACACTACACTACACTACACTACACTCTACACAGTGTACCTTTACACGACTTTATGTAGTACCATACACTACTACACAAGTCTAGAAAACATTACTACACTTTATATTAATCTATACAAATCCAGCCATCACAACACTACTTGGCTCTGACACGTTTTACACTACTGTGCAGGCAAATTGACCAGTTTGACACCTTCTACAATTCTCTGTACCAACACCACTCCACTCAGCCACGCTACACCAATACATTAGGTACTTTACGCCAGTAGTCTACTCTTCAGCACCACTCCACTTAGCCACGCTACACCAATACATTAGGTACTTCACGCCAGTAGTCTACTCTTCAGCACCACTCCACTCAGCCACGCTACACCAATACATTAGGTACTTCACGCCAGTAGTCTACTCTTCAACACCACTCCACTCAGCCACGCTACACCAATACATTAGGTACTTTACGCCAGTAGTCTACTCTTCAGCACCACTCCACTCAGCCACGCTACACCAATACATTAGGTACTTTACGCCAGTAGTCTACTCTTCAGCACCACTCCACTCAGCCACGCTACATACATTAGGGTACTTTACGCCAGTAGTCTACTCTTCAGCACCACTCCACTCAGGTACTTTACGCCAGTGGTCTTTACGCCAGTAGTCTACTCTTCAGCACCACTCCACTCAGCCACGCTACACCAATACATTAGGTACTTTACGCCAGTAGTCTACTCTTCAGCACCACTCCACTCAGCCACGCTACACCAATACATTAGGTACTTTACGCCAGTAGTCTGCTCACTCTTCAGCACCACTCCACTCAGCCACGCTACACCAATACATTAGGTACTTTACGCCAGTAGTCTACTCTTCAGCACCACTCCACTCCAGCCACGCTACACCAATACATTAGGTACTTTACGCCAGTAGTCTACTCTTCAGCACCACTCCACTCAGCCACGCTACACCAATACATTAGGTACTTTACGCCAGTAGTCTACTCTTCAGCACCACTCCACTCAGCCACGCTACACCAATACATTAGGTACTTTACGCCAGTAGTCTACTCTTCAGCACCACTCCACTCAGCCACGCTACACCAATACATTAGGTACTTTACGCCAGTAGTCTACTCTTCAGCACCACTCCACTCAGCCACGCTACACCAATACATTAGGTACTTCACGCCAGTAGTCTACTCTTCAGCACCACTCCACTCAGCCACGCTACACCAATACATTAGGTGCTTTACGCCAGTAGTCTACTCTTCAGCACCACTCCACTCAGCCACGCTACACCAATACATTAGGTACTTCACGCCAGTAGTCTACTCTTCAGCACCACTCCACTCAGCCACGCTACACCAATACATTAGGTACTTTACGCCAGTAGTCTACTCTTCAGCACCACTCCACTCAGCCACGCTACAACCAATACATTAGGTACTTTACGCCAGTAGTCTACTCTTCAGCACCACTCCACTCAGCCACGCTACACCAATACATTAGGTACTTTACGCCAGTAGTCTACTCTTCAGCACCACTCCACTCAGCCACGCTACACCAATACATTAGGTACTTTACGCCAGTAGTCTACTCTTCAGCACCACTCCACTCAGCCACGCTACACCAATACATTAGGTACTTTACGCCAGTAGTCTACTCTTCTTCAGCCACGCACCAATACACTACGCCAGTCTACTCTTCAGCCACTCAGCCACGCTACCAATACATTAGGTACTTTACGCCAGTAGTCTACTCTTCAGCACCACTCCACTCAGCCACGCTACACCAATACATTAGGTACTTTACGCCAGTAGTCTACTCTTCAGCACCACTCCACTCCAGCCACGCTACACCAATACATTAGGTACTTTTACGCCAGTAGTCTACTCTTCAGCACCACTCCACTTCCAGCCACGCTACACCAATACATTAGGTACTTTACGCCAGTAGTCTACTCTTCAGCACCACTCCACTTAGCCACGCTACACCAATACATTAGGTACTTTACGCCAGTAGTCTACTCTTCAGCACCACTCCACTTAGCCACGCTACACCAATACATGGGGTACTTTACGCCAGTAGTCTACTCTTCAGCACCACTTCAGCCACGCTACACCAATACCAGGTACTTTACGCCAGTAGTCTACTCTTCAGCACCACTCCACTTAGCCACGCTACACCAATACATTAGGTACTTTACGCCAGTAGTCTACTCTTCAGCACCACTCCACTTAGCCACGCTACACCAATACATTAGGTACTTTACGCCAGTAGTCTACTCTTCAGCACCACTCCACTCAGCCACGCTACACCAATACATTAGGTACTTTACGCCAGTAGTCTACTCTTCAGCACCACTCCACTCAGCCACGCTACACCAATACATTAGGTACTTTACGCCAGTAGTCTACTCTTCAGCACCACTCCACTCAGCCACGCTACACCAATACATTAGGTACTTTACGCCAGTAGTCTACTCTTCAGCACCACTCCACTCAGCCACGCTACACCAATACATTAGGTACTTTACGCCAGTAGTCTACTCTTCAGCGTGTTCAACATTTGATGCTCTTCTCCACGCCTGTACATTAGTACCGATAATCAGTTGAGGAGCAAAATGGTTACGTCCACTACACCATTCATGGCTTGTCTTCCATACACACTAACGGTCAATGACCTCAACATCCTGTCGCTCCGACGAATACCTCGCGACATGGGATACTTTTCAGCAAATGGTGCTAGTTATGTGTACCGTGTTACGCACAAAGATTTGGCCGATGTTTTGGGAGGATCGTCCATTTTCCTAATAACGGGAACTCCGAAAGTATTGATTCTGTGCTTGACGCAAGTCTTTTACGGACGCTTCTTATGCTGTGAAATAATGACGGAAGGACGACAGAGCGGCTTTTGTGAGTATTAATGGGTTTATATCATAGCGCTTCGGGATTAGTGGTGGACTGAAGGATATAGACTGGTGAAACCATCAAGCACCAGACTCATGAAAGTTCATGAAACCCTTGAGCTCCATACTGATGAAACCCTCCAGAACCATATTAATGAAACCATCCAGGACCAGACTGATGAAACCATCCAGGACCAGGCTGATGAAACCATCCAGGACCAGACTGATGAAACCATCCAGGATCAGACTGATGAAACCATCCAGGACCAGACTGATGAAACCATCCAGGATCAGACTGATGAAACCATCCAGGACCAGACTGATGAAACCATCCAGGACCAGGCTGATGAAACCATCAACTACCAGACTGATGAAACCATCCAGTACCAGACTGATGAAACCATCCAGGATCAGACTGATGAAACCATCAACTACCAGACTGATGAAACCATCCAGGATCAGACTGATGAAACCATCCAGGATCAGACTGATGAAACCATCCAGGACCAGGCTGATGAAACCATCAACTACCGGACTGATGAAACCATCAACTACCAGACTGATGAAACCATCCAGGACCAGACTGATGAAACCATCCAGGACCAGACTGATGAAACCATCCAGGATCAGACTGATGAAACCATCCAGGACCAGACTGATGAAACCATCCAGGACCAGGCTGATGAAACCATCCAGGATCAGACTGATGAAACCATCCAGGACCAGACTGATGAAACCATCCAGGACCAGACTGATGAAACCATCGACACCCTTCTACAATCAACCATGTATAACTCGACACCCTTCTACAATCAACCATGTATAACTCAACACCCGCCTACAATCAACCATGTACAACTCGACACCCATCTACAATCAACCATGTACAACCCGACACCCATCTACAATCAGCCATGTATAACTCGACATCCATCTACAATCAGCCATGTATAACTCGACACCCATCTACAATCAACCATGTATAACTCGACACCCATCTATAATTAACATGTATAACTCGACACCCATCTACAATCAACCATGTATAACTCGACACCATCTACAATCAACCATGTATAACTCGACACCCATCTACAATCAACCATGTATAACTCGACACCCATCTATAATTAACCATGTATAACTCGACACCTGTCTACAGTGAACCATGTATAACTCGACACCTTTTCACAATCTGTAGTAGACAACAGGCCCCCAAGACCCCCAAGAAACAGAAATGATGATTGGGTAGACGCTTACGTTATTTCAACTGACTGACTGACTGAGTTTGGTTTTACGCCGCTTTTAGCAATATTCCAGCAACATCACGGCGGGGAACACCAGAAATGGGCTTCACACATTGTACCCATGTGGGGATTCGAACCCGGGTCTTCGGCGTGACGAGCCAACGCTTTAACCACTAGGCTACCCCACCGCCCACGTTATTTCAAAGACGTATATACACGTATATATACGTCTTTGCTTATTTATATAGGCCTCAATGGCTAAGATATGCGGTGTAAAACAACAACCATTTATCACTCACTTACGCATGGCCCAATCAAATATTAAGATTACATTACCCCGCCTTCACAGCCCATCAATGTCATCATGCTATATATTCACTTACAGCATGCATGTTAACAATAGATGTAGAATTAATGTATACACATAGCCACGTGTTGCGATGTACAGAGGCGTCGATACAAGCTGTTGCCTGTCTCTAGCCCAATTCCTCCATGTGTTTGTGTCTGTGTATCACTACCAGTGAAGAAGAGGGGTGCCGTGTGAGCGCGCAATCAAGTCCTGACGGCGTCTGAAGACACTGCACGTGAGTACACGGGGATCATACTATGTCTCAGGTGTATTCCAGGCACGAGTACCACATGTGTATTCCCGTATTACTAGATACTTGTTCGATGCTTGGCATTGTATCCCAATGTGGACGGCTGTTCATGTTCTCTATCACTTGAATGTCTGGTTTGGATTCAATTATCTATCGCTGTTTTAAAAATGTTTTTGGTGTTAAATAAATAAATAAATAAACAAATAAATAAATATATTGGAAATGTGCTTGAGGCTGTCAAGCATTGCCCCCTAAAGTCCGGAAAGTGATTAGTTGATCTTCTTCATAGTGGTACCGTAATCGACAATCTTGTAGGACAGTGGTATGGTATTTACTGTAATCAACGTTCTACGCTCTTGTAGGACAGTGGTATGGTATTACTGTAATCAATGTTCTACACTCTTGTAGGACAGTGGTATGGTATTTACTGTAATCAATGTTCTACACTCTTGTAGGACAGTGGTATGGTATTTACTGTAATCAATGTTCTACACTCTTGTAGGACAGTGGTATGGTATTTACTGTAATCAATGTTCTACACTCTTGTACGACAGTGGTATGGTATTTACTGTAATCAATGTTCTACACTCTTGTAGGACAGTGGTATGGTATTTACTGTAATCAATGTTCTACACTCTTGTAGGACAGTGGTATGGTATTTACTGTAATCAATGTTCTACACTCTTGTAGGACAGTGGTATGGTATTTACTGTAATCAATGTTCTACACTCTTGTAGGACAGTGGTATGGCATTTACTGTAATCAATGTTCTACACTCTTGTAGGACAGTGGTATGGTATTTACTGTAATCAATGTTCTACACTCTTGTAGGACAGTGGTATGGTATTTACTGTAATCAATGTTCTACACTCTTGTAGGACAGTGGTATGGTATTTACTGTAATCAATGTTCTACACTCTTGTAGGACAGTGGTATGGTATTTACTGTAATCAATGTTCTACACTCTTGTACGACAGTGCTATGGTATTTACTGTAATCAACGTTCTACACTCTTGTAGGACAGTGGTATGGTATTTACTGTAATCAATGTTCTACACTCTTGTACGACAGTGGTATGGTATTTACTGTAATCAATGTTCTACACTCTTGTAGGACAGTGGTATGGTATTTACTGTAATCAATGTTCTACACTCTTGTACGACAGTGATATGGTATTTACTGTAATCAATGTTCTACACTCTTGTACGACAGTGCTATGGTATTTACTGTAATCAATGTTCTACACTCTTGTACGACAGTGGTATGGTATTTACTGTAATCAATGTTCTACACTCTTGTACGACAGTACTATGGTATTTACTGTAATCAATGTTCTACACTCTTGTACGACAGTGGTATGGTATTTACTGTAATCAATGTTCTACACTCTTGTAGGACAGTGGTATGGTATTTACTGTAATCAATGTTCTACACTCTTGTAGGACAGTGGTATGGTATTTACTGTAATCAATGTTCTACACTCTTGTAGGACAGTGGTATGGTATTTACTGTAATCAATGTTCTACACTCTTGTACGACAGTGACAGTATTTACTGGTATGGTATTTACTGTAATCAATGTTCTACACTCTTGTAGGACAGTGGTATGGTATTTACTGTAATCAATGTTCTACACTCTTGTAGGACAGTGGTATGGTATTTACTGTAATCAATGTTCTACACTCTTGTAGGACAGTGGTATGGTATTTACTGTAATCAATGTTCTACACTCTTGTAGGACAGTGGTATGGTATTTACTGTAATCAATGTTCTACACTCTTGTAGGACAGTGGTATGGTATTTACTGTAATCAATGTTCTACACCTTGTAGGACAGTGGTATGGTATTTACTGTAATCAACGTTCTACACTCTTGTAGGACAGTGGTATGGTATTACTGTAATCAATGTTCTACACTCTTGTACGACAGTACTATGGTATTTACTGTAATCAATGTTCTACACTCTTGTAGGACAGTACTATGGTATTTACTGTAATCAATGTTCTACACTCTTGTAGGACAGTGGTATGGTATTTACTGTAATCAATGGTTCAATGTTCTACACTCTTGTAGGACAGTGCTATGGTATTTACTGTAATCAATGTTCTACACTCTTGTACGACAGTACTATGGTATTTACTGTAATCAATGTTCTACACTCTTGTACGACAGTGGTATTTATGGTATTTACTGTAATCAATGTTCTACACTCTTGTAGGACAGTGGTATGGTATTTACTGTAATCAATGTTCTACACTCTTGTAGGACAGTGGTATGGTATTTACTGTAATCAATGTTCTACACTCTTGTACGACAGTGGTATGGTATTTACTGTAATCAATGTTCTACACTCTTGTAGGACAGTGGTATGGTATTTACTGTAATCAATGTTCTACACCTTGTAGGACAGTGGTATGGTATTTACTGTAATCAATGTTCTACACTCTTGTAGGACAGTGTTCTCACACCTTGTATGACATTTACTGTAATCAATGTTCTACACTTGTAGGACTTGTACTGACAGTTGTATGGTATTTACTGTAATCAATGTTCTACACCTTGTACGACAGTACTATGGTATTTACTGTAATCAATGTTCTACACAGGACAGTTTGGTACTGGACACTCTTGTATGACAGTGGTATGGTATTTACTGTAATCAATGTTCTACACTCTTGTAGGACAGTGCTATGGTATTTACTGTAATCAATGTTCTACACCTTGTAGGACAGTGGTATGGTATTTACTGTAATCAATGTTCTACACTCTTGTAGGACAGTGGTATGGTATTTACTGTAATCAATGTTCTACACTCTTGGTATTTACTGACAGTGGTATGGTATTTACTGTAATCAATGTTCTACACTCTTGTAGGACAGTGGTATGGTATTTACTGTAATCAATGTTCTACACTCTTGTAGGACAGTGGTATGGTATTTACTGTAATCAATGTTCTACACTTGCAGGACAGTGCTATGGTATTTACTGTAATCAATGTTCTACACTCTTGTAGGACAGTGGTATGGTATTTACTGTAATCAATGTTCTACACTCTTGTAGGACAGTGGTATTTACTGTAATCAATGTTCTACACTCTTGTAGGACAGTGGTATGGTATTTACTGTAATCAATGTTCTACACTCTTGTAGGACAGTGGTATGGTATTTACTGTAATCAATGTTCTACACTCTTGTAGGACAGTACTATGGTATTTACTGTGTTCTAATCAATGTATTTACATCAATGTTCTACACCTTGTAGGACAGTGGTATGGTATTTACTGTAATCAATGTTCTACACTCTTGTAGGACAGTGGTATGGTATTTTACTGTAATCAATGTTCTACACTCTTGTAGGACAGTGGTATGGTATTTACTGTAATCAATGTTCTACACTCTTGTAGGACAGTGGTATGGTATTTACTGTAATCAATGTTCTACACTCTTGTAGGACAGTGGTATGGTATTTACTGTAATCAATGTTCTACACCTTGTAGGACAGTGGTATGGTATTTACTGTAATCAATGTTCTACACTCTTGTAGGACAGTGGTATGGTATTTACTGTAATCAATGTTCTACACTCTTGTAGGACAGTGGTATGGTATTTACTGTAATCAACGTTCTACACTCTTGTAGGACAGTGGTATGGTATTTACTGTAATCAACGTTCTACACTCTTGTAGGACAGTGGTATGGTATTTACTGTAATCAACGTTCTACACTCTTGTAGGACAGTGGTGTGGTATTTACTGTAATCAACGTTCTACACTCTTGTAGGACAGTGGTGTGGTATTTACTGTAATCAATGTTCTACACTCTTGTAGGACAGTGGTATGGTATTTACTGTAATCAACGTTCTACACTCTTGTAGGACAGTGGTATGGTATTTACTGTAATCAATGTTCTACACTCTTGTAGGACAGTGGTGTGGTATTTACTGTAATCAACGTTCTACACTCTTGTAGGACAGTGGTATGGTATTTACTGTAATCAACGTTCTACACTCTTGTAGGACAGTGGTATGGTATTTACTGTAATCAACGTTCTACACTCTTGTAGGACAGTGGTATGGTATTTACTGTAATCAATGTTCTACACTCTTGTAGGACAGTGGTATGGTATTTACTGTAATCAATGTTCTACACTCTTGTAGGACAGTGGTATGGTATTTACTGTAATCAATGTTCTACACTCTTGTAGGACAGTGGTATGGTATTTACTGTAATCAACGTTCTACACTCTTGTCAAGGACAGTGGTATGGTATTTACTGTAATCAACGTTCTACACTCTTGTAGGACAGTGGTATGGTATTTACTGTAATCAACGTTCTACACTCTTGTAGGACAGTGGTGTGGTATTTACTGTAATCAATGTTCTACACTCTTGTAGGACAGTGGTATGGTATTTACTGTAATCAACGTTCTACACTCTTGTAGGACAGTGGTGTGGTATTTACTGTAATCAATGTTCTACACTATTTGTAGGACAGTACTAGGACAGTGGTATTTACTGTAATCAATGTTCTACACTCTTGTAGGACAGTGGTGTGGTATTTACTGTAATCAACGTTCTACACTCTTGTAGGACAGTGGTATGGTATTTACTGTAATCAACGTTCTACACTCTTGTAGGACAGTGGTATGGTATTTACTGTAATCAACGTTCTACACTCTTGTAGGACAGTGGTATGGTATTTGTGGTATTTACTGTAATCAATGTTCTACACTCTTGTAGGACAGTGGTGTGGTATTTACTGTAATCAACGTTCTACACTCTTGTAGGACAGTGGTGTGGTATTTACTGTAATCAACGTTCTACACTCTTGTAGGACAGTGGTATGGTATTTACTGTAATCAATGTTCTACACTCTTGTAGGACAGTGGTATGGTATTTACTGTAATCAACGTTCTACACTCTTGTACGACAGTGGTATGGTATTTACTGTAATCAATGTTCTACACTCTTGTACGACAGTCGTATGGTATTTACTGTAATCAACGTTCTAAACTCTTGTAGGACAGTGGCATGGTATTTAATGTAATGGACGTTCTACACTCTTGTAGGACAATGGTATGTTATTTACTGTAATCGATGTTGTGCACATTTGTAGGTTCTGTTATGATTCGACGTGTTACACCTTGTCAATTGTAGGTCGTTATATACTGTGAAGCAAATATTGACTGCGCTAGTTCAAGTGCTATTTGATTGATTGCTATATTTTCAGGAGGCTGTGAATTCAGAGGAATAAAACAATGTTGAACAAAAAGTTACATTATGTATGTCATATTACACATTGTGAGAGGGGTGTGTGGAGTAGCCCAGTGGTCAAAGCGTTCGCTCGTCACGTCAAAGATCCGGGTTCGATTCACCACATGGGTACAATATGTGAAGCCCATTCCTGGTGTCCCAACCGTAATATTGCTGGAATATTGCTAAAAGCGGCGTAAAACTAAACTAACTCACACTTACACATATTGTGAGGCGGTCATATGGTGTTAACGCTGCGTTGAACACCTATTCGACTTTCCTGTCAGCTTCACGTGGGGGATAAAGCAGCTCACACAGGCTTATTGACCATTATGTGTTGTTAAACATTATTTATATACAGCTGTTTCGTGTTGGGCGTTTTAAGATATTCCCAATCCCATAATATCCAAAAGTCTTAAAATGTCATATAATCAACTCTTTACGTTTTCCATACAGTTTAGAAAAAACAGCAACATGCTAATTTCGTACATATGTTTGTGTGTGTGTGTGCGTGCGTGCGTGCGTGCACGCATGGACGCGCGCGTTCGTATGAACAATATCTTAATAAATACTTTGATGTCCTACCGTTTAGAACATCATATGTTCTATTTGGCAAATATACTACTAGTAAACATTGTTGGCTGTCTATTAGGAATTTCGTTTTAAAAGTAAAAACATACCGTGTGTATGTGCGTGCGAGCGTGCGTGCGTGCAATCCGTTCGTTGTTCAGTATGAATAATAGCTTAATAAATACTTTGTTGTCCTATCGTTTAGTGTATCATGCGTTCTATTTGGCAAATATACTACAAGTAAGCATCGTTTGCAAACAATTAAAATATTAGAAGTTGTTTGAACTCTGAATTGCCATACTCAATAGTTAAACAATGGTTTGTCACTGAGTCAACAAGATTTCATAACAACCTATGATATATATTTACAACGTCTTTATTATTTACAACACGACGTTTCTGGGCTACTTCTTATCCCTTCATCAGGTGAATGATAGAATATTATTTACAAGTAAAATATATAGTGCGTACAGGAGGCCAGTGGGATGGAGTTAAAGATAGAGATGTACAGAGATGAAGGAGATTAAGTGATATGTTTTGATTGAGATGTACAAACAGATTAAGTGGTATGTTTATGCAATCTTGATTCCATGCCACCGCCTCCTGTATATACAATATATTTTGCTTGTATATTATATTCTGTCATTCACCTGATGAAGGGACAAGAAGTAGCCCAGAAACGTCGTGTTGTAAATAATAAAGAGGTTGTAAATACATACCATAAGTTGTTATGTTACCTTCTAACTTCTAAATGCCCATCAAGCATCTGATCCAACAAGATTTGTTCTGGCCACTCAGATCACACACCTACCTCGTTTTATTGATAATTGTTCGGATTGTGTCTTTTGTAGCTGTAGCTTTGACTACGGCGCCATTGAAGGGTAGTGTTATTAATCGTTTGAGGAGATTGTTCTCAAATTGTGTGTATCAGCTGTTACACGCCCATTAAAGCCAAGGCGTACAAACACACAATCCAAACATCGAGCGTGGCATATTTGAGAATGAATAATTTAACACAAATAAAAGGCATTGAATGTTGGATCTATCGGTTCTTCCAACAAATCGATTCACCAGACTTCGTGTCCTCTGGGGACAAATATTGACTGAAGGAGTCCATGCTTCGTTTTAATTCAGAGATCCTTTTTTTGGATCCGACGATGACGTTAACATTCCAGCAGAATCCTTATCATCAGTACGGCGACACTCCACTTACTCGAAACTACTTTTGATAAGGTGTCCATCTTACTGTCTGCCAATTTCCCAGGGATACTAAAAGTACCTTGGTAGATTTCGAAATTGAAGTTTGTAAACAGACATTGTCCCAGTTCAGGTCACGTGGTACTTTGGAGGTAAGATTGTCCTTGTATATCCATATGTCGAGTTACTTTGTTCGAGATAACCTGACTTTCTCTTATTCTCCATCTTCATCTTTTTCAGCGATCCGCCCTTACATATGGCCGTCATGATAGCGCTAGTCTGAAGCCTGTTCACATTTTGGAATAATGAACGTCCGCACAAGAAATAAGTTCCTGAAGTTTCTTCTGAGAAGACGGAAATTGTTCTTCTGGATTATAACAACGTCGGTGTTGTTCTGGGTAATACAGCTGGCTGTAAGACGTCATGGGACACAAGATACCTTCAACAATGACTTGTATCTGCGTAAGTTGAGAGATGACAGCCTTCAGCCTGCGGAACTCCATTTACAGAAACCTTTGGTGCAAAAGGCGGATATAAAACTTCACGCTGCCACAAAGAATGCCAGTAAGATTTCACAATATGAAGTTTTTATGAATAAAATACAATTAATATATAAAAACATTCTCAACTGGAGTCGAATTGTCAGTGATGAGGAATTGGATCCGCTGCTGAACCGTCACCATTTTGCCTACCATCTGAGAGCAGGCGTGTGTAGGGATGGTTCGCCAGACATTCTGATATTTGTTCATTCTGGATGTGAAAATTTGGCCAAGCGACAGGTGGTCAGGAAAACATGGGGGTCGGTCAAGACGGTCAAAGGGCTATCTTTTCGTACAGTCTTCATGCTCGGTGAAACTAGAATTCAAACCTTACAAAAAGCCCTTGAATCTGAATCATTACTCCACGGGGATATAGTTCAAGGGAATTTTGCAGATGCCTATAAAAACCTAACTTACAAGCATATCATGTCGTTAGGATGGATCCTGAAGGCATGCCCGGATGTAAAATTGATCGTTAAGGTAGACGATGACACGATACTAAATATACACAATTTGGTGGACTACTTTCATGATAGGGGCCCAAGGAACAATCTGTTATATTGTTCTGTGTATTATAGACAAGGGCCACTGAGACACAACAAAACTAAATGGTACGTCAGTCAAAGCGAGTATCCTTTCCTGAAGTTCCCGAATTACTGTGAAGGATTTGGTTACATCATGTCACCGGATGTCGCACGGACACTGTACAAAGCGTCTGAAGATGCGCGATTCTTCTGGGTGGACGATGTCTACGTCACTGGTATCCTTACGCTGAAAGTAGGTCTGACTTTGTCCAACTTAATCGACGGCTATTCTTATAGACGGGATGAAAGCAGCAGAGTGGACGTCAACAGAGCAATGTTTATGTCGGGAGTTAAGAATTGGGAGTCCATGTGGAATAAAATCTTTCCGAAATCATCTGCCTAGCAGTCAGGAGAATGCTAAGGTATACGTGTAATCCAGTCGTCACCTATCGCCCCTTTCCGTAACCTCTATTCGGTTGGTCCCGGAATAACACGAGTGGGTCACGAATGCACGAATGCGTGGAATCATACCCGGTGATGTTAACTACAGGGGCGGTGGGGTAGGCTAATGGGTAAAGCGTTCGTTCTTCACGCCACAGACCTGGGTTCGATTGCCCACATGGGTACAATGTGTGAAGCCCATTTCTGGTGTCCCCGCCGTGATATTACTGGAATATTGCTAAAAGCGGCGTAAAACCATACTCAATCAGTGAGTGAGTTAACTACCTGGAAAAAGAGAGTATACCCATTTTCGACGTTGGCTAAATGTACACCAAACAGGAAATGCTTCTACGATGCTGTTGACGGGAACCGTGGTTGTGTTTGGCAACTTCAGTCTGCTGTGTTTCGGTGACTTATCTCAGCTGAGCAACGATTTCATAACATTTGTAAATTTGACGTTAAACCCAATTGGCAAGGGTATGCTTTCCTCTGTCTGTTCAACAATTACTTACACTGTCATATAAAAGTATTCAATATAGTTTAGACCCGTGAAGATCCGGGTTAGAATTGATCTTCAGCAACCCATGCTTGTCGTAAGAGGCGACTAACGGGATCGGGTGGTCAGGCTCGCTGACATGGTTGACACATGTCATTGTATCCCAGTTGGGCAGATCGATGCTCGTGCTGTTGATCACTGGATTGTCTGGACCAGACTCCATTATTTACATACCGCCGCCATATAGCTGGAATATTGCTGAGTGCGGCGTAAAACTAAACTCACTCACTCTGTCTGGTATTTTACATCGTTTTATGGTCTTCTGGATATATTATCCTTCTTTTGTTTTCTAAAATATCATGAAAGTGATATATTTCAAGCCCTATGTCAATCATGCTGAAATAACGCTGACAATAGATCATGGTTAGCAAGTTAAGGAACTACAAGTATAAGGTACTTCAGGGTACAATTTCCGTTTATCTTGTGTTATGTGATACTATAACCATATGTCTGCGTTGTAATTTGACATGTAACTTTGTACATGACTGCATCTTTCTGGACCAGGATATTTTTCAAGATCTTAGGTGCACAAAAATAACAGTAATTTGCGAAGCAAAGATTTCCTTCATTTCCATAACTGATGGTCTTTAGCTATTTACCTTTAAAATTGTGTGCAGTTCTTTACGTTGATGAATTTACAGCGATATATGTCCGAGCAATGTTATATCTGCAGTGAGTTGTATTTAATCATACCTGACCAGCTCGTGTTATTCCGGGACAAGCCGAAGAGCGTCTTGGATGTTACGGAAAGGGTTGAGTGGTGACGAATGGTATTTAATGTGCGGATCATATTGGCGAGGGGACAATTTGAGAATTTTGAGGGTACACAGAGTTTTTTCAATGGTTCTAAATTAGCATATGCGCAACGTGTGGGGCTCTTTGACTGTATGCGTTTACAGAGGGAGCAAATGTTTGTGGTTGCCTGGTATTTACTTTTGCATGATCAGATCATAGTCGCCGCTCCCGAACTGGTCCGAGGCATGCTTTCTGTCTCGTAACAGTCCGCAATTGGTTATTTTATCACAGTGCTACCTAACACAACTTTAAATAGTAAGTGTTTGTACAGTTTGTATCTTAGCACAGCGGGTTTGCAGGGAACAAAGTTTAAACCTTTACAAAATTGTTTCTACTCAATTTACCGCATGTTCTCTAATAAGCGCCGGGTCTCTAAAAAGCGCCGGCATCCAATAAGCGCCGGTGGTAAAATAACTGTTTAAGAAATAAGCGCCGGGTCTCCAATAAGCATCTGGTCTCTAATACGCACCGGGTTTGCCACATGTTTAAATGGAGTTTTCAAATAAAATACCAATGGAGAATCTATATTTATTTCCTTTGAAAATTTCAGCGCCGGGTCTCCAATAAGCGCCGGCCCCTATTACGCGCCGGGTCTGAGAGTTTCTTGAATTAATAAGCGCCCGGGCACTTATTACGAGGAAATACGGTATATGTGAAAAGATATTATATTTTTGTGACCCCACATTTTTCAATATTTCATCAACGTTTGAAGGGATTTTGGTTAGAGGGCAGCTATTATTGAGGGGAATTTCTTTACAGTTCAATATGCAATATGTTGTTGAAGTTTTGTACACGCCTATTGACTTGGGAGATTATATATTTATATCTAAATGGTGAAATAAAGCAATTATTTTTGTTACATTAATCGTGTCATAACTTGTCATCTGGATGCAGGAAAAACGTTAACTATTACAGCTTCAGCAAATGTTCAGATAAACTATGCCGCTCTCTACAGTCATGAAAGGTCATTCTGGGTAGAATACATTCTCCATCTGCAGAAGGGAGACACAGGTGGCCCATTCGTCTAAGGATCCGCTGTTCGCTGTCGAGAGTTTCGTACCAGAAACGTAAGATCGCGGGTTTAAGTCCCATATAGTCGGCCTCAGTAGGTTTCTGACTTTGTCTGCACCAGACGCGAGCTCGTGAGTCCCAGCAAAGTGGTCCCCGTCAGAGGCCTTCATCACTATCCTCCAACGTTAAAGATGAGTGAGTTTAGTTTTACACCGCTTTAAGCAATATTCTAGCAATATCACGGCGGGGGACACCAGTGATGGGCTTCACACATTGTACCCATGTAGGGAATCGACCCCCGTTTCACCGAGCTCTCGTAAGCCTAAGATGTCGTAACTTTTTTCGTAGCATTCGTACTTCCCACACTGTAACACACTGCATGGTCTTCGGTATGACGAGCGAACCATTAGTTTGATCAATATCTTCATAGCTAGCACCAGGGTGATGCAGTAATCGGTCAATAGTTAATAGTTACCGATCTAACTATTATGTCTAGTCGATCGTGTCTAATCGATATAGAACAAAATGTCGGGCACATTGAAAATATATTAATATTTATAGTGGAATGTAAACGACGATAGGACATTGAAACACTTGTCATGGAGGCATTTCAACAGCTGTTACATAATATAATCTCTTCACTAAAAATCAAAAATATGGAATTGTATTAAACGTATTAAAAGTCGTCGGATTTTATATATTGGGGAATTCTTCGCCATTCCTCCTGCAACGCGTTGGCAAGTTCTGCAAGTGTCTGAGGACGATGGCGACGTTTACGGACGTGTCGATCAAGTTCGTCCCTTCTATGCCCGATCGGATTCAGTTCAGGCGATTTGGAAGGTCAGGGAAGGTCATTGACGTTTGCATTGGCGAGATGGGCACCTGTTACACGAGCGTTGTAGTGTTGAAACAGCTCCCTCTAGCGGATAAATCGTGGGAGGAGGTGAGGTCGCAGGATTTGGTCGATGTAGCGATTTGCTGTAAGATTGCCTTGAACCATCACTAGCTCTGATCTACCCGTGTAGGACATGGCTCCCCACACCATGATGCTTCTCCACTAAATCTGTCCACCTGTCGAACGCATTTCGACGCAAAACGCTCTCGTCCACGTCGATAGACAGACACTATGTCTCCGACCCCGTCGTTCCCCTAGGTTGCTGTCTTGGGTCGAACAGAAGCAGGTATAATCGAGATATGTTGCTGTGGTGGACGATGAAGTGTCTTGCAACGGCAGACTGGGACTCCCCTGCTTTCAAACGTCCAATGGCGATATTTCGGTCAGTAGCATTCAATCTTGGCGGTTTTATCTTCGTTTACGTCGTAAATTTCGTAGTGAAATGATGAATTTTGTTTGGCCTTTTATAGTCGATGTCTCTACTCATGTTTCCGATACATTGCATGTGCATAACGTGGAAAACCTTTTCTAAATTCACTTGTCATGTATCGTTTATATTTTTTAGTACAAGCGTTTACAAACACAGTTTGGGATGCGTTTGCGCGCAATACACAAAAACCACGACATGATTAACGGGATTCGAACATAGGAATTGTCTTAGTGATGAATGCTGTCAAAATATATCGAAATGAACTGCAGAAAACGCCTGTGCGTTTCTTTTTGAGTGTATGAAACTCGTGAATGGTATGGGTCGCTTTCGCTCGTTAGATACCAAACCATTCACTCGTTTCATAAATATGGTATTACACGGGACATCGTTTTATATTCTCTATTTAGTCAATCAGCGTGTTATCGGTTAATCCCTTGATCGATATTTGTTTCTTTAACTCAGCTGATAATTCCACTTGCTGCACTATATGCGCATATTACTTAGCTTGTAGTACGTTTCCTGCATCAGACCTTAATTAATAATATTAAGTATATACTCCAGACACGAGAAATGCTAAATGAGAACCTTTGTCGGGTAATCTGAGTGGCATTACCACTAATTATACCTGTTATAAATTCATTAACTGACCATCAAGTGAATGATGACAAATAAACAGGTGTAGGTTTATACCACCAAACACGAGTTACAGAAAGGGAGTACAAGAAATCTGGAAATCCTGCTGACTGGGGAAATCGCAACAGAGTACAAAATCAGTCCAGAATTCTGCAATTCTCAAGATAACATTAATCAGTATTGTTTGATACATCTAAGGACTTGTATATTATATCAATCACATTGTGCGTTGCATAACTGATGTACTGACTTGCTCTGACAGACGGAAATCTGGAAATCGTGGAAATGTCAAACGAGGCTCTGCCGTAGAAACGTTTGTCTGTCGGCCACGGATGATATTATATCAATCACATTGTGCGTTTTACACTGACTCAGCTCAACAAACACATAACAGGTGTAACCAGTGAGCCAGATGAATTGTGAATCATTTTAGGACCTCATCAAACAGGGGCAGTCTCTGACGTCTTACTTAAGGTCATGCTGCCTACACCTTGCCATAAAATATAGAAATACGATGTGATTAAACTTTAAAATTAAAATTCATTTTTAAATACCATTTTCTTTTGAAACAAGAAATTCAGTGTAACCATAGTTGTTTGTGGTGTCTCTTTTCACTTTCACACGAGAAAATTCGGATCGGATGAAAAGTAGGTCATTGTCTGAATAGGTTAATGAGACATCATATTTCGGATGAGAATAGGTGCATGCTAGTTTAATTGCCTAAAACGAACGGAACTTCATTGTTGCATAAGAAACACATGTAAGCATTTGCTGTGTATTCAAGTTACAAACTGTATATACCTATTTACCTAAGTGAATTTTCAGATTTTTCTAGCAATGGC